AAACCTTGTAGGAATGTAATTATACATAATTTCCATTGCCAGTTATTAATGATCGAATAAAATTATTTACTCATGCGAAAGCCATATTTTATTGAAGAAAATAGCTTATTTATTATCGGGTTAAATCACATCGGGAAGAAGTAATGCGATTGTAATTCTTAGAAAGTCTGCTAGAATGTATATTTGTTGTACATGACCGAGCTCATGTTACTTACAATAATTCAATCGATGCATTTTTACATGTGTCAAGTAAAAATAATAAAGAAAACGATTACTGTAAAATATCGATATAGTTGAAGATTGTTTAAATATTCCCTCTCGGTTCATAGCATTTTCAGGCATTTTCTTTTTATGCGACTGTTAGGTATGATAAAATCAATAAATAATAATTAATTTTGTTTAGAAATACGTATGATTAGACTTCGAGGTGCTAAGATTCCATGTTAAAGTAATGCTTTAAATGTTTCTCTTTACTCAATAAAATTCTATTAAGCCTGATAATCCGTTATTATATAATTCCAATGTATTCCAGGTGAAATTCGTGTTTCTATAAATTATTTATAAATTATCTTTGCTTATAAATAACTTATAAATTTTCTATACATTAAATTATATAATATCACATTTTTTTTAATAATTAAATAATACTGATATATTAATTGCTATTGGGGCTTCTTTTCTCGCATATGCAAATTGTAAATAGACGGTATACTTTAATTTATAATCGATTACTTTTTACTCTTCATACCTATTAAAATACAAAGTATTTGTAAAATAATTTGCTTAAATGACTCTTGATTTCTTCGGACAACGATATTCCTTTTAATCGAGCAGCGATAGTAAGTGATCGCATTAATTAACGAGTAATATTTAGTAAATTACAATCATTTATCAGTAATTGCTAGTTTGCATAATAGCGCATGCTTTGCAATACTAATTTTGAAAATTATATTAACGATCTTTTTATTAATTTAATGGCTTGTACATTTTTGTTCGTATAAAAATCTAAGAAAACCCACACTTTCTTAAAATTGAAAACTTACTATTAAATAAGTTAAATAAACAAGTATTTTTAGAGTAATTTTAATTTCCATATATATTGAGAATCTTATAATAAAATCAGACTTTGGAAGGCAAATGTGGAATGGTAAGTACGAAGGACAAAAATATTATCCTAAAGTCTTTGATAATTCAAGGGTTACGCGATACGTTGCAATATTCCATAAATAACGGCCATCCATCGGATTCCGGGAGAATTACATATTTCTAAATCGTAACTCGCCAAATACTCATATTGCCTTGAGATTTGTCTTATTGCGCTTGCGTGGGCTTGCGATCCCTTTCATCGAAAATCGTGCTGAGACCGACGCGTCAATCGAATTTCAGCGAACGATCGAGCAACGACAATCGGCAAAATGCCAGATACAGGAGCATCTCGATTAAAGTTCCTCCACGTCGAGGCAGCGAGTGCGTGCCGATGCATGAAAATCGTTACGCGCGCGTGCGCGTTTTTCCCGGCGCGATTTTCTAAAGTCGATCCGCGGCCTTGATTTTTCACTACCACCGCCGACGCCGCTGCCGCCGTAGGAAAGTTCTATACTTACTTTTTCCAATTAAAATGCACGCGCGTCGATACCTGCGCTAAATCATTGGACTGACGCTGGCCTCGCTTAACTCTACTACTTATGCCGCTCGTTCGCGCGATTCGTAATTTATTTGATCGGCGAAGTTTCTAAAAATCTCATCGCGCCACGCATTAATTGGCGAGCATCATCGCTTATGGGGGAATCGGTGAACGCAAGCGAGAACAATGTACAAACTACCGCGCACAATGTATTTTACTGTTAATCGCCGAGATCTTATTTAACGTTGACGAGCCATAAATTGTCGGAATTCGCGATAAGACCGATGATAATTACGTCGATGTTTTACATTACAATTTATAAGATTTCCGATGTTATGTGTGTGCGTGCGTGCGTGCGTGCGTGCGTGTGTATACAGATGTATTCGGTAGCGTTCATTACTATAAGCGAACGATAAAAAATTATAATTATAATGACGAAGTGCGGTACGAGAGAAAAATAAATGGGAATACCATAGCCGGTCTGATATATTATCTCTATTTTATAGATAAAATGTATTTCTAACGCCGAGTACATATATACATACCACTCATGTATTCTACCGTAACATTTAAATTTTAACCTATTAAAGGCATACACGCGCGCGCGCTCATGGATACATTCATGGTGATATGGAAATATACATTGCGAGTTGAATTTTGAAAGTATCCCGTTAAAGTAAGTGATGGATAATATTGTACGACGGCATACAATTCCTCGTACCTTTAAACATAATTACGTAGAAATTTCCAAATGAATCCACAATTTCACTCCTATCTTAAAATAGGAATCTTAATTCACGAAAGCAAACAAAACAGCGAGCGTGCCATTTTGATTTTATATTTTTTTATCAATTTTTATTATTTTTTTTATCAATTTATCAAATTTTTCTTATCAATTATCTGGCATATTACTAGTTTGATAGCTACTATGCGCCGGATATTTTGCGCGAATGATTGCATAAAAAGAGCAACGATCACCGGATATGGAAGAAAATTATTCACAGAGAATTAAAACATGCGAACCTGAAAACTTTCCGATTAATGCAAAATGTAGCGTATTTCGCTTTCAAATTTGAAATATGAAAATTATAACTCTTGTGCGAATTATTTTCAGGCAGCGCCTCGCACTCTATCGATGTGTGAAATACCAAGTACATTTGACGCTCTCTACGGCGAGATGTGCTCGAAAAATCGATAATCCAGTCTATCATTGCAATTATTGCTCATTATAATTGCCATCAATTAACGTCAGGTCACTTAATGTTATTCTACAATACGCGGAGGAGCGTTACTTATTTTAAAACTTATCTATCTTCATTAGGCCATATATATGTATATATATATATGCAAATTTTCAACCTTTCGTTACAAATTTCACGATCCGTAGATGAAGAGATAAATTGAAAACCATTCTAAAAGCGATAATTAAGAAAGAATTAAAACAAAAAAAATGAACAAAAAAAAAACGAGAGGAAAAAAGAAAAGAATAAAAGTAGAAAAAAAAATGCAAATAATTGTGCACAATGTGTGTAACTAACTTCTTCCCAAAAGAAAAGAAAAAAAAAAAAAAAGAAAAAAGAAAAATTGGAGCACCCACGCGCTCACACCGAGAATAATTCCCGCAAACGCGAGACTTTCACTTAAATCACAATTTCATCTCTTTAAGGATCAAGCTCCACTAATTGGCTACGACGAATGCTTGCGGCGAAAAAACTTTTCGACGAAAAAATCCCACACTCGCACCCTCCAAGCCACCCAAAATTCCAATACGCAATTGCAATACCTGGAGCGTGGCTCATGCCGACCTTGATTCTGATTCCACTGATGATCCTGGATATCCGTCTCCCGAGGAGTAGCAGCAGCCCGGGCACTTATCGTAGCCGAGTACCGTGACGACAATTGGCGCGGCCTCCCGGACCCAGATGCCCCGTTCTTCCGACAGGCCCAACGAAACTGCAGAAGCGAGCCCCGCGTGTCCGACCACGAAGGACAAGCGACGAGTCAACGCGGCTAAGCGGCCGAGGAAGCGCCGGCCTTGTCCGCCCCGTCGGCCCTCATTATTCCTAGTCGACGCGCGATCGATTGCCGCTTATCGATTGATGATCGGGGAACCCCGGCGCTCGACGACACTTCCCGATGATCGGCGCGCGGATGCTGCCGGACTACTACTACTACTACTACTACGAGGCCACCGCTCTCTCGTGGATGATCCTCGGCGCTTCCGCGGGCTTAACGGTATCGCGCGCCCGAGTACTGTTACACTCCCGCCATTGCCACCGGAGCCGCTGCTGCCACTGCCTCTGCTATCGCCGCCGCTGCCACCGCCGCCACCGGCATCGCCATCGCCACCGCCACCGCCTTCTATGCGCCCGATGCAACGGCGGGGGAGGGGCCGGGAGGCGCGATTTCGTTTTTAATGTGCGAGAGCGAAAGACTCAGGCACCTCGAGTGAGAGTCGCGTGGGCGACAGCTTTCGCATATTGGACATTGGTACTCGTATGCCAGGTGGGATCCGATTCACCGGCTCCTCGACTGCGAGTGGCCCGGAGCTAGACGAACGATCGTCAAGGGCGATATTGATTATCGACACTTATCGATACGATTTACGACACTGATATGGGCATCCGCTAGGTATTAATTGCCACAATGATTAAATTGTTTATCGTTAAACAGTAATGCGCGTCGATTAGCTGCGCTTTAATTTTCATGAGTCGCTTGCTTTAGCACTTTGTGCACATATACAGACGGATACCCAGTTATATGAAGAGAACACGTGTAAGAATATGTAGGATTTATTTTTATTAATGGCTCTGATACTAATCGATACTGCGTGCGAGATTCAATTACTTTTATAACGAATAATCATTGAATGCTCTAATTGAAAATTTTCAGTTCGCAAATAGACAATCTCGCAGAGCGTGAAAAATCATTGCACGCGACGCACAAATGCATTTGCTTTCATTGCTACCCTTTCTTTATATGCTTTATTTGGATTTGTTTAAGAGCGCGGCAGTGAAAAGTATATCATTACAAAAAAAAAACAAAAACAAAAACAAAAAAAAAGACAAACAAAAAAACAAAAAAAAAAACAAATACAAAAAAAAAAACAAAAAAATTAAAAGAAACAAGAACGTTACTCGGCTCGATAAAGGAGCGCTGCACGCTGTCAATACTTACGAATTAAATGCTTAAATACCGAGTGCATTCCAAATGAAATCGTTAAAATTTAAATTCTCTCAACTTTCTCTATTTTGGGCAACTGGAAAATGAGATCATCTCTTGATAATCAGGGAGAGAAAAAAAATTAAAAGAATTCAAGATCTTTAAGGCATATTTTTCACATGTATATGTTAATATTAATAATGATATTACGTACATTAAGTCGTTCCAAAAATTGAGCATTTTTAGGTTATGCTATCGTCCATTAGTCTAGAATCTCGTTGTAATATATGTCTTAGTGGCCAATGCAGATGGACTATCGGGGACACTTTAGAGAAGCTTTTTTCGATTAGTAAAAGAAATTAGATTATTTATTACTTTACTATCTTATTCGTGTCGGTTAATGTTTAAAAATTGCAGGACTGATAATCATCGGTTACCTGAAAGCCTACAAATCTTACATGAATATCGAATTCAATGTACAACCAACTACAGATTAGTAAGTTTTTATCGCTTTTTTTCGATTTTCTCGTATAATTTAATGCAATTGTTTCACATACGAAAGTCTATACTAACATTGATGTATTAATCAAACATATAAAACTTGAATTATTAAATTTTTTTTTTTTTAAACGCTAATAACGAAAAAAATAATACATTCTTTTCAAAAAAAAAAAAAAATATATATATATAAAAGTTATAGCCAACATATTGAATATTATTAATTTAAATACTCATGTATTAGTAATTATGTTTTTTTTCTCTCAGCTCAGCTAATTTGAAATAAATTGATAATAATTATTTAACGACGCAATCCTTAATATAATTTTTTGTTCGTGCAATATTTAATACAATTTATTAATATGTAGCTAATAAACTATTTAAATTTCCTTATGTTTTCAATCTTACACATTTTTTTTTTTTTTTTTTTTTTTTTTTTTTTTTGTATATTTCATACCTAACAGAAATCCATACTTTTATTATTTATTACTGTATCTTTTAATTAGTTCTATTTTCCTATTTATATAGTGGTCTTTCATTATTTCTTTTATCGTAATATTATTAATAAGCATATTAATGAAAAGACAATAAATATAAATATAAATAACCACTGTTTAAAAATAAATTCGAAATAATTTACTAACAACATTCTTTAGAGCAGGTTCGCTCATCTAGGTCACCACACCTGACCTTGAATAGTACATAATAACTGCAATTTATTACTATTAAATGAAAAAGGGAAATCGTTATATTTTTAAAGAATGTTACATTTATAAATATGAAGAATAAATTATACTGTTATCATTTCATTTTAACATATATAATTTTCTTTCTTTTTGTTTTATACAGATGTTGTGTTAAATGTTCTTTAAAGAAAAAGTTGTAATATACATTTCAATAAGATTTTCTAATAAGCAAGTATTAGTGGTCTTTTTTGCTGCTGTAAAAAAAATACAGGAAAAAATACTACACACTATGTATTTCGATATTTTGCAACTGAAAATAAAATGTACTATATTATTAACGCGACTGCTCGGCCATCAGAGACTTTCATTAGAAAAATGAATTATTGCTAATTTTTAAAATGTCTGACGATCGTATATTTAAATTCATAAACATACTGTTATATACTTACACGTTTTCACTTCAGCATTCTATATATAAACAATAATGTAAAAATAAAAAATAATTAAAGAAATAAAAAGAATTTAATATTTACAATAAAGCAATAAGATTACAACAAATGTTGGCAATTAAAATGATAGTTGAATTACAGGCATTGAGGATTTTGCGTTTATATGATATGTAAATTAAGCTTACCGAAAAGATTTGGTTTTTTTTTTTTTTTTTTGCTGACAGCATTCTACGAAAATTAATTATCCATCAGCATCGCAGTAATTTTTCCTCGGCTCGATATATTTTATAAATGATGATGATAATGAATAATATTCCATCTTTAAAAGTATTGCTTAGTCATTAGGATTTTTACATATCAGGTTTATCAACTTCATCGAGTTAATAATTCCGAAATTCTTAAAACAAGGGTAGAAATTATTAATTTGAAAAGCAATTTAAGTGATTTCGTAAAATATGAAATGATCAAATTACTGTTACTTTTGCCTTAATATTGCTATAGAAGTCTCGAAGCTCGAAGTTGTATAATTACTGAAAACAGTTAAGAGTGGAATTCAGAACGAACTAGTTCAAAACTAGTGAAATGGCCCTGAATATTTCAAATAATAGTTAAAATGCTTATCAACGTTACCATTAATTTATTTATACATAATAACAGTAAGGCAAAAAGAAAAAATTGATTTATCACAGTTATTATAAATTTTTAGAGCTTTACCATAATATAACTGTTTTGAAATACAGTATTAACACGTAGTGAGGGGAGCGACATTTAATGTGAGTAATGACAATTGAAAAAATTAGACGATTGAGCGGCAGAAATGCATTTAATGAATCGTCACACAAACAACACTTAGGCTTTCTCGTGACAATAAAAGTAGGGGAAAAACACTAAAAATTCCATTATACGCTTCGGAAAGTGACGCTGAAAAATATCCATTCGATTCGTGTTGAGGATCGAATCGTGTTGAGGATTTCCGTTATTATGAGTATTAACTATTTACGACTGCACGCTGTCTGGCCCGTAAAAATATGTAATCTGTCGAACCACCTGGCAGGTGATTTTACTTCAAATTAAGCGTTCTTCAAATACAAAATTTCATTGCTACATACAATTATGATTATTGCGGGTCAAGGTGAGCAGCAAATTACGGCGTAAAATTCATGGCGATTCGTGGAGGCGAGGGAAATTCCCCTGCTTGCCGCACGACTCACGAGTGCAATGATTTTTCAATTACCCGATAATCTGCCACTTTTACGAGGCGCGGTCGAGCATCGATGACATTAGCTCTCGGCAGATCAACAGCGCCCGATTGAGCAATGCCGCGCTCCTGCGAATGGACGAAATGTTACGTTTTGCACTCGCAAGAACGCGCATAATGAACAAGGAAGTCCGCATGGTCGAGCTGCAGCCATAGAAACTTGAAAATGTATGCTCGGAAATATAAGTTAACAAGTCTATGAGAGATTGTAAGAAATGTCGTAAATACTTTGTATAGTTTTTGCCCATCGATGTTTGACGTATTTCATCCATTTTAAGTGCTAAATATGCACTCTTGCCGTTAATACAAATAATAGTTAGTGCTTTAAAAATTCTATACTACTTTGTTCCTCAAACATCGTTATTTTTTTTTACATAATTTAACATAGCAGATTTTTCATCATCCAAGACGTACCCTCTTTTCATTACAGACAGTCGCATTTGCATTAGTTTAATTTTAACGTATTATTTAACGTACTAATTAATAGTAAAGAGGATTGATTAACACGTTTATTTTGCTTTTGACAGACCAAAGATTACCAGACTTCTTCAGCGCTTCCTCGCGATAATGTTGTTTTGTTGGAATTATGAAAAGTATTTATGAGTTTCTTGACATTTCTTAAATAAGCATTACTATGCATACGATTCGGTTTCGTATTTCTTGCTTAAGCCATCGGGTCGGACGTATGTTTTATCGCATGGAAATGAAATAGCAGCATTTATGAGCGGTAAAATTGAAAATTTTTTAATGAAATATCTATAAAAGCTACGTATAAATTAACAATTTAAACTGTTTTGGACTATCATTTCTTTAATGTCAAATAATATGCGCTTTAAATCATTAAAACGAATGGGAAGAGTAATGAGAGATAAACTTTGCATTCTCGGTATCTCAGTGCACATTACCCTGGTTATGTGATTTTATTAAATAGGGACATTTAATCTAAGAGATTATAATATAATATTTAACTAAAATTTGATTGTCTCCAATGAGTAAATTGCAAGGATGAAAGATCCTTTATAGTTGAAATTATATATATCTCTATGGTATTGAAAGAACGTGTACATAAGTAAATTTCAAAATTCAAATATAATTGAAAAAAAAAAACTCATAACTTTAAGCAAACCGTAATTGAAATAATTTATAATTCATGCCCAGCTCTTATTATTCATTTGTTTAATAATAATTTAAATGGTTTATTTCTTACGAATGCCATAATATATAGAATATATAAATGCCTGACTGTTGCAACAAAAAAAAAAAAAAAAAAAAAAAAAAAAAAAAAAATATTTCCCACAAAACTTCTATTCGAACAAAATATAATGAATTATAGGTATTAATATGGTCAATAGTAAAAAAATTGATAATAATTGTGAATTTGTGATGATACGAGATTGCGGTCACAGTTATTGTGATGAAGCACGGAGAAACGAAACGACTCTGTAGCTCGGCCGTTATTACATTAATAGCTCTTCATACAATCTCGATGGAGAGAGATAGACATAGAGAGAGAGAGAGAGAGAGAGAGAGAGAGAGAGAGATATGTCGCTGTTCTCGGATTTCTTGTACAATTCATGGATCAAGTCTTAAAATAGTGAAAACGTCGGCAGCAAACTTCATGCAATTTAAGTACGTACTATTTTCCAAAGTAACTCCTTCGGAAGTCATGTAAGCTTGTCATGCCACTGCATTTAATTCCATGTATTGTTTTGATGATGAAAATTTATATTTTGTTAAAGAATTTTTTACCTATGCATATTTGTTCAAATGACGTATTTTAAAATTATATATTATCAATAATTCATACGTGTTTCTATACTAAACTATTCAAATAAGCATCTTAATAGGCATTTACATAATAATACATTATTCCGTAGTAGTGAATGCAATTAATTATTAAAATATATATATATATATATATATATATATTACTTTATTATTTTAAAATTTGAAATACTATTTTTATTTCAATTGGATACATTGTTTTTGCTCGATTGAAAATGACTCGCGACATATTAATGAGAATAAGTCATTAATCTATATACTATTATTAAATAATGAATTATTAGAAACTAATTGACATAGGCGTACATTTGAATTATATTTAAATTCAAGAAAATATACTACTTAATTATCGTTGTAAAAAGCCTATTTCAATGAAATTTCTTTGGCAGTTTATAATTACTATCGACGAGATTGTGCGTTGAAATTGAAAGGATCTACAAAATAAAAATTTTTCAAGCAACCTGCTTCTTTATATTAATTAACTTATATGTGCCATTTTTATTGAAACGGAATAATCGCGTATAATAATTTATAAAGAAATTACAATAATTTATAAAGAAACTTTGATACTTTTTAAAAAATATTTATTG